GAGAGGATGACTGAATTAACAAACAAGTATTTGAATATTTTTAACAGGGCATTAACCAAAATTCAAGAGGTAGAAAATGCCCAGGAAAAGCAGCTAAAACAAGTTCAACATAATGAAGAATTATCAAGAGTGTTACGCATTCATCGAGCACCCATAAATATCATTGATAGAACTAGTCAAAATATTGAAATAGCAATCCAAGAATATCAAGACGAAGTTTTTTATTCTTGCAAGCTTGCTTTAATAGAAAGTTATGCCACAGCATTCGACAGCAATCGATTTGAAGCTCAATCTAAACTCATCCAATTCTCACAAACAGCACAATTCAACAATTCAGGCAGTAAAATTACCACAGTTAACAATTCCAACGTTTGACGGAAACCAGCTGAAATGGGTACAATTTCAAGACATGCTAGGTGAAATAATGGAAGATTATTAGTTATCACATTATTAAACAAACTATTCGCATTGCCAGCATTGGTAACTAAATCAGCTTCTGATCTGAAATCACTGCATGATATTTCACAGGAGTGCTTATTGGGACTTAAAGCACATAAGATTCTAGTTGATCAATGGGACATTATAATTGTTCATATGACGATGAAAAAATTGGACAACAGTACATAAACAGCGTTTGAACAATCATTATTAAACAATCTTCAGCTAGTCACCATGAAGGACCTTTTTCAATTTATTGAACAAAGATTCCAGTCATTAGAAACAATAAATAATAGCGCATCTGAAAAAAATGGGGTCAAAACAATAACTACAACTAATACATCTCAAGTAAAAATTGCACAATGTCCAAAATGCAAAAAAAAATCATCCAATTCATTTAAGAAAGCAGTTCCTTGGTGACACCCCAGCTTAAAGATTACATCACATAAATTCATTGCTACGATATTTCAATTGTCTGAAGAGTAGTCACTTCACAGTGGTGTAGTCTTAGATCGCCTCCTCGTGGTGCACCCTGGGTAACGCCAAATGATCTATTCCCCCTTCCTGGATGCTGTTCTCTTCAAGGGATCCAGCATCCTCTGGTAACGACCGTTTTTATCCTCGGACCACGTTTCTTCATATCCTCTTTTTGTATTTGATCGCTTTGGGCTGGTGGTTACAGGTTTCTGGACCTAGCTGTCTTCTGACACGGTAGCACCGGGGTGAAGCTCGCGTGTGACCGGCACCAGGCTAAGTCTGTGGCTGCCTCCGTCCCGTTAAAACCCTGGCAGGCCTCAAAGTACGTTCTGCATCCGTCACCATTAAGTTGGTCGTGTAGGTTCGGTTGAAGCTTAGCTCCCGATTAGTTCTGGTCTGGCTCTGAGCACTTGTTCCCATAAGGACCTGTGCCAACCCTCGCATGGCCTCCCTGCACTTGCATAGATAACCTTCTTTTTATCAGTAACTACACTTACGGGTGCCAGATAGCGGCTTTGAGTGGGGACCCTTTTAGAATGAACAAATCCAATCAAAACTTTAACATAACTCCTAAAACTCCTAACCCTTCAGGGGGGCGTTGAAGCCTTACAAGGCAAGCGCCTACTAACAACCAGTCACCTAGAGCCTCTGCTCAGGCGGTTCGAACAAGTAATGCTCCGTCATTGAGCACCTTAGTAACTGTGCCAGGTGGTAATACTGCCTCGTGCTATTCTGCTAGTGCTGCGGTCAAAGCTAATACGCCGACCGCTCCATCTGCAATTAGTACCAACTCAACTTCCGGTACACGTTCCCACCCTAACCCCTCGACAAGGGCGTATAGGGCGCGGAGGTCAGCATATCGCATCCTTTCTAGGCTTAATGCCGCGGATACTTTCAGAAAGCGATAAGGCATCACTGAAGTGGGCAAGGGAAAATGTCAATCTCCGGCCCTCTGACATCACTTCTACTTCTGCACCTGCTCAGAAACGACAAAGGTCGATTGAGCAGGCTGGTAAATCTATTCCATCAAACGCTCCTAAGCGCCCAAAATTTGGTCCTCCGAGACCCACATCTTTGTTTTTGTCTGAGCGAAATAGTCAAAGAGAGCCTGACCTGGGCCATCATCGACACTGGCAATAGTGATGGCACCATCTCTCCAGCAAACTGGAAGAAAGTCGAACGGGCTCTCCTCAAAATATATATGGAAATTATTGCCCTCAACCCTGGGCCATCTCCCAGCTGTAAAGGCGCTGAATGGTACCAGGGTCATATTAAAATCATTGCCTGCTCAGATCAGCGCTCCGCGGATCTATTTAAGCAGGCGATCGAAAATATTGGGGAACTCTGGCCCGGCGCACTGCTCAGAGCTGTTTCGGTGGTTAACGAACAATCTCTTACACCCCTTCAAGCCCGAAATGGGGTGATTCACTATGGCTTCGGGTCAGTCACCCTACATGCTTACTCTCAAATCGCTAAACAACAACCTTCTGGTGGGGCGCCTTCGGAAACGATCTCCGATGACGGAATCGGTTCCATCTCCGTTCCAAACAATCCTGATGTAGGGACTTCCGATGTAATCGGCAATCTCTCCTCTGAAGACGGAGGTAGCGTAATCTCGCCTTCCGAACTGGTCGGCGAGTTCTTTACAGGTATGGTGCTCTCCCGGGAGACCTCACCGATGTCGGACGATGATGAACTGGACAGTACCATAGTTGAAAAACAACCAAGCTGTTGAAGGTCGTCCAAATTAACCTCCAACACTCCAAAACTGCTTCGGCAGCCCTTACCATCCGCCTAGCTGAAATAGGAGAGGACATAATGTTGATCCAAGATTGTAAACAATCGGGTTTGCGGACTGAATACAAACGGTTATCGGTTAGTATTCACAGAAGGTCAAGGTGAACCAAGATTTTACATTCTAGTAAAAAATAACATTAATGCCTTTTTACTCCCTAGGTTTAGTGACAATGACAATGTAGCCATGGCCATCGAATACGACTCCAAGACCCTTCGGATTGTTTCAGCATATATGGCACACGATCACGGTGCCACTCCAACACAGGACTCCCGCAGGCTTCTGGTGTCAGAGGCTAATAACAGTAGGACCCCGGTGATCATAGGAGTTGACGCCAACGCACATCATGAGATGTGGGGTAGCACAGATACTAACGCGAGAGGTGAGTATCTTTTTGATTTCATTCTTCCAGGAAACTTGGTGATTGCTAACATAGGTAGGGAACCAACCTTCATGAATTCAATCAGAAGGGAAATTCTCGATATCACCCTGATTAGCGATCCCTCCTCTTACTTTATTACTAATTGGTCAGTATCGTAAGATTGTTCCTTTTCTGACCATAGGTACATCAATTTTGATCTAGATTTTGTGGGGAACCCTGAATTAAACAATTCATCTAAACCAATAAATAGGAAACGTACTGTATGGCCCATTTTTCGAGCCAACCTGGAATCCAACTTACAGTTGGACCCTCCCACTATTCTCAACTGTTCCGATATAGATCGAGCGGTTGACCTTCTCACATCAGCATTTAGATGCGGCACAAACGCGGCCTGCAAGCAACCCGAATTTAGGGGCAAACCCAAACCTCCTTGGTGGAACTTAAACATTGCAGACCTCCGAAAAACCTGTAGAAAACTTTTTAATGATGCTAAAGCAACAGGAAACTGGGTTGCATATAAAGAGAAGCAAAGAGAATTTAAATACGCTATTAGGCGGGCCAAATAGGAGGATAGCTCTGAACTAACAATCTTTTTGGTGCTCTTCGCTCCACCCTCACGCAAGCCCTTTTCGCTCTGCTTCATTGGCTGCCATCTCGGCTTCTGGTAAAACAGCAAGCCAAAATAGTTGCAACCAGGCTCAACGCCCTCTCCTGCTGGTCAAGAACTGATATAGGCCACGCGATCATACTGAATCAGGATCTGCCAACTTCCGTCTCTATTGACTACATGTGTTGTTACCCAGACCTAAACAGGGGGTTCGAATCACTTATACCTAGCAGGGAGGACTGGATCCTTGAAAGAGTGATGCCTCCCCAAACGGTTGACATTTACACGGACGGCTCCAAAATAGATAAACGAGTCGGCTGTGGCATTTTCTCTGAAAGACTGGGTCTCAGCATCTCGCTTCGACTTCCAAACCACTGTAGCGTCTTTCAAGCTGAAATAATGGCAATTCACCAAGCTGTAAAATGGGTTAAAAAAAAGAGTGAATTGTAAAGTATTCCTAGTTTATGATCAAACCTTAAATACTGAGCTCTTGCACCAATTCACCTCCTTTTTTTTACCCACGGTTCGAATGGGTTTGTTAAAATTGAAAAAATTAATTAAAAAATCGACAATTGATATTTCGTTAAGCACGTGAACGCACGAACCATAATTTTATTTCTTCGTATATAAAAAATAGCAACAACAATGCAAAAACAGGTTTTTAAAAACAATACAAATGTTACAAATAAATTGTTACAATTGAATATTCTATCGTGATACAGAACATTTGTTACACTTGATTGATCTCTAATTTAAAAAAATAACATTAGTTAATATTAATACATATAAAAAAGAAAAATATTATGATGCCAAGTTGGCTTAACATCCCGGCCCCTATTGAAATATTAAATTTCAATTAATTGGAATAAGTGCCAACTTAGCAACAGGGCGTCGTAAAACTGTTGTTGGTGTTTGTACATCAGCAACGCGAACACGTCCGTCAGCGCCTGTTTTCACACTCACAATACGACCCATTACCCATTTCATCGGAGGAGCGTGCTCGTCATAAATGATAACCAAGTTGCCAACTGCAACATTACCTTGATCATATTTCCAACGATATCGGTTCTGCAAGTCTGCTAAATATTCGCTCTGCCATCTCTTCCAAAAGTGTGTTTTTGCTGCTGATATTCGTTGCCAGCGTTGGGCATGTACAATATTTTCGTTCTTTAAAAACGGCTCAGGAATACCTTGTAATGATGTACCAATCAAAAAATGCGCAGGCGTCAGAGATTCGAAATCATTGGGGTTTGTTGAAGTTGCTGTGAGCGGTCGAGAATTCATGATTGCTTCAATCTCGACTAATGATGTTGTAAGTTCTCGAACGTAAGATGAGCGTTAGACAATGTGCGATATAGATGGCCTTTGGCAGTTTTTACAGCAACCTCCCAAAGACCCCCAAAATGTGGGGCGCGAGGAGGAATAAATGAAAATTCTATTCCTGACTTTGCACAGTGAGAAATAATTGCATTTTTCATGCAATCTTGATGAAAATGGTTTCGAAGTTCTATTAATTTTGTTTCAGCACCCACAAAATTTGTCGCATTGTCACAATGTATTATCCTTGGCAAACCTCGTCGTCCCACAAATCGCTTTAAAGCAGCAATGAATGCATCACTAGTTAAATCAGTAACGGCCTCTAAATGAACTGCTTTAGTAGCAAAACAAATAAAAACCGCAATGTATGATTTATACGGTGCTTTACCACGAATTTTTAAATATGTAAAAATAGGCCCAGCAAAATCAACGCCTGTAACTGTGAAAGGTCTGCTAGGTGTAACCCTTTCCTTTGGTAAAGGTGCCATTATTTGATTGATTAGTTTGACTTTATATCGTGCACAATGGACACATTTTTTTATAACTGAAGTTGCTAATGATTTGCAATTTATTATCCAAAAACGTTGTTGAATAGTTGCAACTAATGCACGAGGGCCAACATGATAGTTAACCCGATGAAAGTACATTACCAGATGTTGAACAAATGGTTCATCCTTTGGTAACAACAATTGATGTTTAAATGTTTCTGGTGTATCAGCATTTGTTAGACGACCTCCAACACGTAATAAGAAACAATTTCCGCTTTTATCAATGAATGGCGCTAATGTGGCTAAATTTCCTTTAACATGACCCACCTGTTCCAATTGTTTAATTTCATCACTAAATCTGTATTGTTGAATTACCCACACTACTATATGAAGAGCATTGTCAAGCTCAGTAGCAGAAATGTATTCATTTTTCAATCGAGTTTTAAAGCGGATAATGTATGCTATTACTCTTAAACATGTTAAGTAGTTACTAATATTGTTTATTTTAAGCAAAACGTATGGTACGGGTTTATTTTCAATTATAAATGCCGTTTTTTTTCTTTCTAAATTTACTTCTTCATCAGTCAATGAATACGAAGTAAATTCTAAAGGCCAATCAATTTTTGAACTGTTGAGGAACGATGGTCCCGTTAGCCATTGGGACTTAACTAAATCTCGCGTAGAACATCCACGAGATACTAGATCTGCTGGGTTTAATTCTGATGGTATATATCTCCATTCAAAGCCATTAGTCAATTCTTGTATTTCTGCTATTCTATTTCCAACAAATGTTGATAATGTTGAAGAATGAGTATGAATCCAATGCAACGTAATTTGTGAATCCGTCCAAAAAAATACGTTATCAAAAGACCTTTTGAAATTAGGTTGAAGTTGATGCTAAAATTTAGACAGAAGGTGAGCCGCGCAAAGCTCTAAACGGGGAAGTGACCGTTGTTTCAAAGGAGCAATTTTAGATTTGGAAGTCACGAGTTTGGTACATATATTGCCAATTGCATCCGTGCATTTAAAATATATGCAGCAACCATAAGCCTTTGTTGAAGCGTCAGCAAATCCATGAACTTCTATACTGACTGGATTTAACATTAAAACAAAACGAGGAATTTTGAAAGTAGATATTTGTTCAAAATTGATGATAATTTTTCTCCAAGCCTGTGAAATTGTGTCAGATACTGCGTCATCCCAATCATACTTCAAGATCCACAGTTTCTGAAGAAGTATCTTAGCCTTTATAATAATCGGACTAATCAACCCCATTGGATCAAATAATGCTGCGACTGTAGATAGGATTGATCGCTTGGAAATGGTATTTGAAGAATCATTCAATTTAAAATTGAACGTAAAATAATCATCAATTGGACACCAAATTACACCAAGTGCACTAGTTAGATCACTATTGGTAGTGATGGAACACGCTGCAGAACAATTTAAATCAGGGTGATTACTATGCCATTTGGATAACGGCATTTGAAAGTATTGAAGTATGTCAATAACTTCATTTTTAATTTGTTGAAGGCGAAGTAAATCATCAGCCCCTGTTAACATATCATCAACATAAAAATCGTCTTTTATTATTGATTTTCCAAGCTCATGGTTACCAGGATATGTATCGACTGCATAGGATAAACTACGTATAGCTAGAAATGGAGCAGCAGCAGTTCCGTAAGTCACTATATTTAACATGTATGTTGATACGGGTAACGACTTGTCATTGCGCCAAAAAATTAACTGATAATTCCTATCCTGATGATGTACCATAATCTGACGATACATTTTCGTTATGTCCGCCATAAGTCCATATTTATGGCAAGGAAAACGTAGCAGATTAATGAGTAATTCATTTTGTATGGTAGGACCCACTGCAAGGATGTCATTTAGTGAGACCTGTGATGCCGTTTTGAAAGAAGCATCGAACACCACGCGTAACTTAGTTGATTCACTACTTGACTTCAGCACGCAGTGATGCGGAATATAATAATGAGGTATTGATAAATTTGGACTATGAATCAATGACATATGTAACAATTCTTCGTATTCTTTCATGAATTTTGAATATTCTTCTTTGAGCTGAATATTCTTTTCAAGCTTTTTTTCCAAAGCATAAAATCGACGTAACGCAATATCTTTAGAGTTACCTAATAAATCTGTACTATTTTTAAATGGTAGTTTTACCATAATTCTTCCATCACAGTTTACAGATACATTATCAATGAAATGTTGTTCACACATGATTTGTTCCTCTGACCACTTCTGACGTTTATTAGAGACGTCTTCTAGTTGCCACATTTTTTCAATATTTTTGTTCAAAGCTTCGATTGAAGTGATGGTGCAATGACTGACTGCTTCAATCGGTTTATGTGACAAAGCATACCTTCCGGATACAATCCAACCAAATTCAGTATTTTGTAAAATTGGTAAGTTTTTACCCAAAGACAATCGACCTTGCGTTAACAACAAAAAGAAAGCTTCTGCTCCAAGTAACATATCAATACCTTTAGGGACATTAAATTCTGGATCTGCAAGTTCCATATGTGATGGAATATTTAAATCTTTCAACGAAAATGCTTTATCTGGATGATAGCTACTAATGTTCTTTGAAATGAGAAAATCTAGTGATGTTTCAAACTCGGTTATCCGAGATCGAATTGTAGTTTGCGTATTATGTTGAATTTTCAGCACAGAAGAACCAACACCAACGATATCTATTTCAGATCTCGACCTTTTTAAGTTTAGAGCCCGTGCTAGAGAATCGGTAATGAAATTCACTTGCGAACATGAATCTAAAAGCGCTCGGCCCATTTGGTACGTTCCGGTAGAATCTTTTATGAGAATTAGAGCTGTTGCTAAAATAATGGTACTATTTGTCTTCTTAACACTCTTTTGTGAAGTAGCATGTGTAACTGGATTACTAAGTTGATCATTTCTTGATGATGAAATGTTAGAATTTACAAACGTATTTAAATCATGTTTGTGGAGCAACGTATGATGACGTTGTTTACAAAATCGACAAGAATATTTTGAGCTACATTGTGATACAGTGTGGAGGTTTGATAAACAATTGAAACACAATTGGTGCTGTTGTACTTGATCACGACGTTGTTCTAATGGAAGTGCGATGAAATTGATACAAGTAGAAATATTATGACCTAATTTGGAACAATATGTACACGACCTTTCAGGAATATTTTTGATCGCAAATGAATACTGCTTTGGCTTGCTAACCTTTTGTAATGAATGCGGCTGATAAGTTTGAATTGATTGCGGTTTCACACTATGCCTCGTTTGAGCATCGAGTTGTTGGCATCGCTTATCAAGCATAGCACAACATTGTTTCCAAGATGGAAGATTAGAGTTATCTAAATATTCATCACATTTCTTTTTAGTTTCTTGATCAACTTTGGTAATTGTAAGATGTATGATAATTGCATCACAAATTTTTTCAAAACTTCCAAGTGATTGTAACGAATTGTACAAAGCTGAGATAGTATCAGTGATATGTCTAAGTTGTTTAGAATCAGCCTTAGAAATTTTATCCACTTCGAAAATAGATGAAATGTTTTCTAAAAAAATGATTGTATCATTGTCATACCGCTCTTTCAATCTGTCTAGTGCTTTGCCATAGTTTTCTTCAGTTACTTGGAACGACTTAATTGTTGACAAAGCTTCGCCGGATAGGCACGATAACAGATGGTTGAACTTCTCAATAGGTGGAATGAATTGATCGCTGTGAACTAGATTCGTGAAAGAGTTTATGAAATTTTTATATTCGAGATATTTGCCATCAAATCTCGGCAAACGTAATTTAGGCAAACGATTGTACTGCATTTGAGGCATTGAAAATGTATGTTCATGTGATTGTGAGCTTCTTCTGTTGCCGAGAAGATTTAGAATACGTGATTTTACTATGACATATAGTTCGTCAATTTCCGAGCGACATGTATCTTGTGGTAACAAACGTTCAATTTGACCTTGATAATACGATGCTTGTTTATAATACGATTCGACCATACCTAACCTGCACTCAAGTTCAG